CAGACCTCTAGCTCACGTCCTTCTTGGGGAACGGACAGACGGACAGACAGACAGACAGACAGACAGACAGACAGACAGACAGACACAGAGGCGATGGCATAAGCCCGCTTATATAGCTTTTAAGCAAAAGAGCGGGCTAAAAAGGGGAAGGTCAAAAAAGTTTAAAAAAATATTTTTTGGCTGAGCTATTAGCGAAGCCTATTACTCCAGTGATCAGACAGTCTCGCATCTGTCTGTTTGTTTGTCTGTCTGTTTAAAATCAGGCCTTGGGGGTCCCCTAGGGGAGGAGAGAAAACAGTGGTCCCTAAGTGGTTATGTCCCCTGGTTATGGCCCTTGAAATCACAGCTCTTCTTTGTCTCACACACGGAGTTGAGTCGGCTCCATACAAACACGCAGTTTTATATTGAGCTCTGTAAGGTTGGGGCAGTGTGTAACAAATTTTGGAATTTGGCTATAAAAGTCGAACTATGAAAAAACCAGATGATACAGTCGTATCATTTTATGAATTAACGTTTCAGCTAATATTTTAATTAGGGCATGACCTCAATGTGGTCATAAGATGGTCAGATAATAATAATAATTATAATAATTTAATAGGGCAATGGCTCAGTCTTAAAAGGATAGCTTTAATGAAGTACGTACTGGTACTGCAGCGCCCGTGACTCCCCTCCTCAGAGTGCTTGGCACGCTGTCCGCATCTGCTGCAGGAGCACCAGCCGGCTAGTGCCAGCTAGTGTGATCGTTGGGCAGGTCCGAATTTTGTCCGAAAACGAGCCCAAATATTGAACAGCTTCTTACGGAAATGAACAAATGACATCAAGATGTTTCAAATGATACCGAACGCTCCCCAAATATTCAAATTTTGGGTGTTATCCACGTACTATGTTGGCTATCGCCGTGAAACTAAACCAGTAGAGTAGGGATTTGATTAATTTAATTGGGTTTAAAGTTTTCCTCTCGCTCGGCCAGGTGGTCCAGCTGGCCGATTAGGTGATCCCCCCCCCTCCCCCCCCGCTCGCCGGCCACGCTCTCCCCCTTCCTCCCTCACTCCCCCCTCCCCCCCTGGGTTGCCTGGCGCCACCTAGCCGAGCGAGAGGAAAACTTCAAATCCAATTAAGATGATTCAAATAGCCACTCTACTGGTTTAGTTTCACGGCAATAACGAACATAGTACGTGGATAACACCCAAAATTTGAATATTTGGGCTGCGTTTGGTATCATTTGAAACATCTTGATGTCATCTGTCAATTTCCGTAAAAAGCTGTTCAATGTATGAGCTCGTATACGGACAAAATTTAGACCCGCCCAACGATCACACCAGCCGGCACTAGCCGCGCCGGCTGGTTCCGGGAAGTACCTCGCTCCCCTCCTGCCCGGCCGGCCCCTCCCCTAGCCCGCCCGTCCCAGTGGCCCCGCCGCGCAGGTAGCCAGCTCCTGCAGCGGATGCGGAGAGCGTCGACGCCGACGATGTAGGCCCCACTAGGCCTCACCGTGGTGAGTTTTGTTCAATTCTGTCGTCAACTAGCCCATCCTCACACCTTTTCGATTCCGTCAACACCAAATTTTCTGCAATCGGCCTAATAGCAGCGCCTGCAGCCCGTAATGTGTGGTTTAAGTACGCTCTTTACAATTCAGTGACATGGAGCCTTTTTAACGATTTATTAGACCATTTTGTCTTTTTCTCGTTATTTTCGCCAAGAAATGCCCAATAGCGCCGTAACGGTACAAGATAGAGCAAAACGGACGGAATTTTCGGCCATAGGTTTCTACTTTTACAAGTGAACCCTTAAGAGCCCATAAAAGAATATTTGAAAAAAGAAATATTTTGCAACCTGCGGTTTTTGATTTTTTTTAAAGTCAATTTTTAAGATAGAATGCTCATCTTCGAACTCGATCTGTCTTTTTTGGCTGAGCGATTAGCGAAGCCTATTACTCCGTCTGGTCGGAAAAAACTTTTTCTGTCTGTCTGT